CCCGCCCCCCCGGGAGACGGGAGGGTACAAGTTTTGTGTGGATTTTATGTTTTCAAACCTGGTTGGTAAATTGTAATTCCCTCTGTCAGGTTATAATAACTTTTTTTTCCTTTTTTTTTTTTTTTTTTTAATTTTATATTTATGTTGCGTTTTAAGAAGATGACGCGCCAGAAGCGCTTGGTGAGGAGTCAAGAAAGCTTACCAGAGAACAGCTATTTACACTGGCTGCGACAGCTTCTATAAACTTCAGTTCAATGATATGCTATTCAATCCTGGGACCCTTTTTCCCTTCAGAGGTAAACAGTTTAGCCAGCTACTCTTTGGAGTGTTTGTTGCGTGTTGAAACTTTTAAACAGATCTTGAGCACTGTGGTACCTTTACTGCTGTCTGTAAGCACCAAGTTAGGCTTTCCGTTTGTGGGAATTCATATTGATAGCCTGATGCTGGCTAAAATAGATTAGAGTGTATATAATGGTGACCTGGATCCTGTCCATGGTCTAATTTCATCTTCCCCATCACTACAGAAAACACGGCAAACTGATGATAGGAGGCAGAAGATGAGAGGGATGCTTGGAGAAGTGAAATAGTATTTGCCTGGTGTTGCGTAGCAGTTTGGTAGTAGAGCTGAGATTAAAACTCTGCCCATGTCCTGACTTGCATTTCAGTGCCGTAGCCACTCGGTGACTTTATTTATAGCTACCTTTCTGTTAACTCATGCTGGGCCATCATTCACTGCATTAAACTTCCTGACCTAGCACCTAGAGGGAAAAAAAACCAAAACACCAAAACTCTGCTTATGTTGAGTGAATACAATGTTTAAATATAAGATGAAAAAAAGTGGTCACGGTGCTTTTGCAGCAGAAGTCTGGTTCTCTCATGACCAAGTTGTTCCCAAGTATTAACAAAGAAATGTTAAGGTTTGTTCTAAATATTCCAATGTACAGCTTGTACCCAAGTGGCTGTATTTTGCCAGTCGGATAAGTAAAAAAATTGTCTGGTGCTTATTATGAGGAGGCATGATACAGTGAAGATAATGGATATCTCTGTTCACTGCCCTCTCACCATGTGAGGGCTCAAAGCTTTGTAGCTAGCTCCACTGCACACCAGCTGAAGCTACTTGTATAAAACCTGGTCACCTGTGCAGTAGTTCAGCAAACAGCACAGTGTTTCTATTCACTGAGGAATCGCTGTTGCTTTTACCTTGATTACATGTAGTTTAACTAGAAGTGCAGCGTGTGTTTAAATTGCTGGGGTGGTAGCTTATGAGCCCTGACTGTATTTGAGAAAGGAAGTTGCTTTGTAACTGCACGAATTAAAAAAAAATAAAAATAAATGCACAGGCATAAATGTTATTCACCTCAAGAATTTGCTTCCATCTTTACGCAGGTGTGATCTTTTTTGCAGGCAGAAAAAAAAGGTGCCAGTAACACCATGATTGGCCTGATTTTTGGATGTTTTGCTTTGTTCAATTTCTCGACTTCTTTAATCTTGGGAAATTATGTAAGTATAACTGAAGCTGTAACTTATTTCTGTGATGACACAAGTTGGTACATGAAGACAGTTCTCTAAGGCTGAGAAAAGAGATGTCTCTTCAGTAGCATTGCTGTAGGCTTCTGTCTGCACTAACTGGAGCCTGGATGGTCAGCCTGAATCTGATTTAAGTCTTGGCAATACAATTTAAAAATCACTCTTCTACAGTTCTTGAGGGTAGCATAGGGTGGCGGACTTGTAGCTGGTTTGTTTCTCTGGTTAACTGTTCTGTTTGCTTCAGAGTAATCTACTGATCGATTTTTCCTTTTGGTTACCTCCTTTCCCCCTATCTTCCATTTTATTTATTGCACTTACTTATATAATCTGTTTGCCTTTGGCACCATTCTTAAGGTGTTTTGTTTTGTTTTTTCTTTAGTTAGCTGCACCCCTTCTTCTTTTCTGGTATGTTGTCTTTTTCTTAAAATTTTCTCCTGTTATGACTCTCTGCTGCTTAATTTGGTTTTCCCTTCCATTTCATTATACAGTGATATGAGCTAAATGTCTCCAGTTCTTGCAACCTCAGTTTTCGCACAGATTCAGGATTTTTCTCATGCTGGAGAAATTACAAATAAATTATAAAAATTTGTTTGTTTGTATGATGGAGCACCGCTGTCTCTGCATTTTTGGGTGGGGCTGCTCAGGATCATACCCTAAGTTGGGGCTGCTGCAGTTTCGCAGTCTTCTCTTTCTTTGGCTGGGCGGTCTCCTCACTGACCCCATGGTAAATGATTTTCTCTGGTGCTGAGGTGGCATATCAAGGTGTCACGCAAGGGCCATTGGTAAGTCCAGTCTCTGTGCCTGTGATGGCATTCAACTATGGCACAAACCTCACCAAGTACTTTGCAGGGGAGAGAGAGAGTGAGCGCGTGTGCCATCCTCACTGCAGACAGGTGAAGTGAGCACCAATAGAGGTGGACAGTCCCACAATCAGAAATCCTGAGGGTTCCAGTGAAACTTGGCAAAATATGGGCTTTAGTAATAATAGCTGAAACACAGGGACTTTGTCCAGGCCTGAACAAGAAAAGAGTCTGAAATACCTGCAGTCCTTAGGGGAAGTTGCAGCATGGAATTAGAACCTCAGATGTACTTTGTTATGGGATTGAGTTAGCTTTACAGCATGCCTCTCGTTGTCCTCCACCCTGGTGATGGAGTCTGAAATGAAGGAAGGTGGGGTCCTTTCCCTTAAATGAATGGGAAAGACTGAAGCTACTGTGCTTCCTATGCCAAAGCTTTGTGCTATTAAAGGTTGTGATAAATTTGCTTTAAAATCAGCTTCCATTGACTCTCCTGAGCCATATACGTGGCAGGTATTGTTGACTTGGCATCACTGAGAGTGCTGGAGGGGGAATGTGTTACTTTCTGTTTGTTTGTAATGGGGGGTGCTGCTGTAACCTGCTACTCTGCAGAAGCTGCACTGCAGTGCTGTGAAATAGTTAACTGCACCATTGTCTTACCATTCTGAAAACTGGGTTAAGTCACTTAACCGTTTAGAATATTTTTAGGTTCAGTATTGCATGAAGGCACACCAGCAGGAGCACTGTCTCCAGATCTTTTAGTTGGATATGCTATAAAGTGTTGACAGTGTTTTGGTTTCTTAAGAGTAACTTACTTCGAAAGATTTTTTTGATCTAGGCTCGAAAGAATAACATGTAAAAATGGTATTTGATTTACAGCTTACGGATATTGGAGCGAAATTCATGTTTGTGGCTGGGATGTTTGTTTCAGGATGTGTGACCATTCTGTTTGGGTGAGTATTTTTTTCTTGGTTGGTTTTGTTGCATTTGTCTTCTAATCATTTTCATCCACATGAAAAGATGGGCACAAAACAAAACTGGAAACTCTTGAGCATCTCTCAGGTGTTGGTTAGGTCATCTTTACTTTTTATCTGTCCCTTGTAAAGTAGAATGAACACTTCTCCCTTTCAGTAGGTTTCGAAGCCTGTTCACTACTTTGAAAGCAAAGGAGGAAGGTTTTATGTATTTAACTAACTACTGTAGTTCCTGAACAGCAAGAAGTATGTCAAAGTGCAGCAATAAGGGAACTAGTTATGCATAATTTCTTAATTATTCTTTTCTTAAAAATAATGAGTGCAAATGAGGAGCTTCGCTTGGCAGGTGGAGAGGCTAAGCCATTCATTTTAGCAAAACAAAAGTTTTATTAACAATGAAGGAAGCTCTTATTGTTGTAACTCATTGCTTCAGGCTCCTTGCACAGTTGCTTGGAAAAGCTACGAAATACGACAGAAGATGGCATTGGAGTGTTTCACAGGTTAGGTTTTTTGTGCTCTTTTTACCACCAAAGAAAGGGGAAAAGGAGAACTCTGCCAGAAATAGCTGGGTAGAATTTGAATGACTTCACCGATGTGATGAAAAAAGATGTGGCAATTGAAAGCATTGACTGTCTTGTAACTGTGTCCTTTAATGAGTAAGAAGTGATGCTCCAGGGCCTTTAGTAGATGACCTGTTGCATCCTGAGAGATCTCCATTTACCGTGTTGGGTTTTTTTTCAGAATACTGGACAAGGTGCCAAGTGGACCAGTATTCATTGGTTTGTGCTTTTTAGTAAGAGCGATGGATGCAGTAGGTTTTGCAGCAGCAATGACCGCATCGTTTTCAATCCTTGCAAAGGCGTTTCCCAATAATATAGCCACAGTCCTGGTAAGTGCAAAAACTTGTATTACAGCTGAGTACCTGCAATACGATAAATTGCCAGTAGGCAGCCTGAAGCCAGGAGGAGAAACTGCTGTCTCATGTGCAGGAGTATTTGAAATTGTTACGTAATATTTGTTTATAGTCTAGAATCAGAGTCCTAGAACAAGTTTAGACCTTAACATAACTTCAATTAGGTATAAATTAAACAGTATGTATTGGTTGCTTATGTTTTGAATACAGCTGACCATTGATGGCAGTAGTTAGCTCTTCAGTTGAAATCAGACTGTTAAAGTACTAATACAGCTTTTAGTGACTGCTTGTACATGGATGGTAAGAATCCATGTGGACTGAATAAAAAAAATTTGATTAATTCACTCAAGTAGTGTTGATTTAAATGACTGAAAGATGCAAAACTGGAAACAATTTTGGTTTAATTTTTCTAATCTGTTGGTAAAAGTGATGTATGAGAAGAGAGCTAGAACTTCTTGGAATCTGGAGGGCAGTATTTCAGATCATCAATGATTCATTTCAACCAGAGATATTACCTTATTTAGTCAGGTTTTATGGTGTTAGGAAAAAGAAAGTTTTGTATTTAATAAAATGCTGCTTTTTCTTTCTTTTTTCAATGAATTTTGGTTTCAGTTGAAATACAGACTGACAGAAATAACTGGATTAAATTTTAATGATTGAACAAATGTTAAGAACATCCTTCAGAACATTTAATAAAATTGGAAAAGTTGATGCTTTTATTAATACTGTTGTTAAGCTGTATAGTTACTTCTATAAATACATGTCTATAAAAATATGACCTCCTAACTAGCAAAGAACCGCTAAATTGTATCAGCAGTGAGGAGCTGGCAATTTCTTTGGAAAGCAGGTTATACATTGTAATCATATTTTGGATTTATTCAGTCAATAAGGTTAGGGTTTCCCATTTGCAAGTTTTGAAACGTAATTTAAATAACTAAATCCCTTTAAGTCAAGGTTACTTTACTTATCTGTCTTGTTATAAGACTTAAAAAAAATAAAAAAAATCTGATCTGTCTTGTTATAAGACTTAAAAAAATTAAAAACATAATTCTATGGTGGCAGCACAATAAACATAATGTATAGCTGAAAAAGGTATGCGGTGATGAAGATCACCTCAAGACCACAATCAGAAATGCTATGTAGCTGTGGCCTTCCTTTGCCCTCCTTGTTAGTGCTACATACTGAAAAGTACTTTTCCTCTCCTTACCCTTTGGGCGCCAGTTTTCAACTCACCTTTTACCCATTGGGTACCCTAGAAAACGTATGGGAAGTTGTTAAATGTAGGCATGTCATCCTTGTTGAAGTAGGAAGTTCGGCATCTGTCGGCATGATCCCTCTGTCAGAGGAGGTATGAACTTCGAAACATAAGCAGTATCACCCCCAATAATTCATTAATCTAGAAGGGCTAGATGATGTACAGCCTGATTTGAACTGAAGTCTCACCAGTCATAAATGGTTTTTATGGTTGGTGAGCAACACAAGTGAAAGCATTATTTGGATGCAGTTATGTTAACTCATGGGCATTCCATGTGTTCAAGTTTACCAAAATGTCTCAAATCTATCTAGAACTGATCTGGCAGACTTACTAGTCATATGCTGTTATCTCCTGTCCTGGGAAAGAAAAAGGCTGGGACCCTGGGCTGACCTAGGGTGAAGAACTTGGCTATTGCTGACTGTGCCCGCTCTCGGGCCATTTGACCACTCTGATTTGTATCAGTAAAATTAAAGATGAGGATGGATCCCTGTACTGGGTCCCAGAAGTTAGTAAAACTTTAACTGTAAGCATTTATTACCACCAGCTGTTACTTGTTAAAAGGGAGTGGTCTAAGCACTGATTAGTCAAGTATTGAGGCAGATGTTGACAGTGGTGACTATAGTGGTGTAACACAAGATTTAAGTGTAGCTGCATTATTGTCCTTTTGAAAATTAGTATCTTGTAACATACCAGATTATTAAATTATAGCCAAACTAATCTGAGTTTTCCCCATTGCAATTTCAGTGTTATTTCCTACCCCTAGTCAGTGAATCCAAACAGTTGGTTATGGAAGGGAGGCTTTTACTTGGCACGTGTACCTCATCCGACAAGATAATGAGCCATCAGAGTAGACTTGTTTGAGTCCTCCTGCTCAGGCTGGAGGGTACCTGCAGGTGGGAGAGATGATCACTTCAGCCTGAGTTGTCCTGCAGATGCTTTCCATAGGGAGAGCATTTTCTTGCCCCAGGACTGGGATGTGTTAGGAAGCAGCAGAGTGGCTAACACTGCAGGTGCTTCCCTGTAGTGAAGCAAAGCAAAGGAAGTGATTGCTGTCATGCAGACAACTGCAAAATTCCTTTTGCTGTCCTACTTTGTGAAGCTCTCTACGAGCCCTTATCCTGCTTAGTGATGCAGTGCCTTTTTCTTTTTTTGCTTTTATTGTTACACTAGAGTTTCTCAGCATTCTGACTTTTTTTTTTTGCTTGCTTTCTTTTCATCCTTTAGGGCAGTCTTGAAATTTTTACAGGACTCGGACTGGTGCTGGGCCCGCCTTTAGGTGGCTTTTTGTATCAGTCATTTGGTTATGAGGTCCCTTTCATTACACTGGGATGCATAGTGTTGGTATTGGTGCCTGTGAATATGTGCATATTACCAAAATATGGTAAGAACCTTTCTTCCTGTCTCCTTCACTTCACCTTAATTTCTCATGTGTACAACTGTGTTTTAGAAAAATACCAG